AGAAAAATAAACTGTAATTAAAATATTTTTAAAAATACACTTTAATGGCAACACAAACGTTTTATAGAACTACTATTCCGGATATAAGATCCTTATACTAGTGTGTAACTTAGGACCCAAACAGTATCTCACAAATGTATGTAACTTAGGAATGTGATGTCAGGATGACGACTCAAATATATATGTTTTTCTGTTTTGTCAACTCAGAATGGGAATTGTTGCCAAAATGTAAAACTATATCTACAGGAATAGGCTCTAGATTTATTTATAAGACATCCTCTTATTATCTTTCACACGACATTTTTTAATGTCATAATTAAATAGATTTTGTGTATGAGATTGAGATTTGAAAATCAAATGTCAAATATTTTGACAACTCCAATAGGTTTTTTTTTTTGCCAAATACAGCACTTAGAAGTCTCAAATGCCACATCTAAGAATTCTAAAAAAATATTTTTAAATTTTAAATCAGTTTTATTTATTGCGTTTTAATAACAACTGATAATATTTAAAAAGTAAATAAAAAAAAAGATAAAGTGAATTGATTTGGAATCACGTGCGGGTCACGGGTGGGAGACTGGTCCGTTAATCTCTAAAAGTGATCGTCGTCCCAAACATTCCGTTCGCATTTTTACAAGTTGGATTTTGGACTGTTTGAGACAACGGAAGCGTAAATCGCTCTGGAATCCCACGATCCCTACCTCACTTCCATCTCACCTCGCCAGCCATTTCTCCCTTTCAAGAAGTCCGCGTTCCTTACCTGCTCGCTTTTTCTATATCTTTGGGGTCTGTTCGCCAGCCGCCGGCGCCCTTTTGTCGGATTCGCCTTTCTTCAGGTGAGTCCCAGCTTATCTTTCCTCCTCATAATTACCCTCTTCCCAATTGTATGGTGATTTCTCTCCCTGGAACTTTAGTAGAGTTTGGTTTGATTGAGACATTGTTAAGATTTTCGCTATGGGGGGATTTTGATGCTTTTATCTTGATCGGTGAAAGTTGGTATTGTTACTGGATCTTCTTGAAGTTTGCATCTTTGATTTCCTCTGAAAGTTATGTGTATATGACTAAATTTTTGTATCTGATTACTTACTCAGGATCCAGGGGATTGTTTGGCTTTACGCTTTATGGGAAAATTTTGTTTTGATTACTTCTTTATTCTCTTCTTGCTTCGATGTCGAGGTTTTTTTTTTCTTTATCATTTTTTTTTGTAATATTGTTCCATGGTTTACCATTGGATTTAGTTCAAAATTGATTTTTAATGTCCTAATTCCCGTGTCTTCATGCCCCATCTTGTTCTAAAATCTCCAATTAATGAATGGTAATTCGTGGTCACCTTATCTTTTCTGAACTGCTACTCTATCACTCACTGAGCTGCGCACGTATCTTTTTCCGTTCTGTTTCGGGTCTTTTTTTTTGGTTATGCTAACATTTGTGATTGATTTAATTACTAATTATTTGACTTCGTGATGTTTCAATTTTGGGTTTGAATTTGCAAGGTTAAGATGATTTTGATGATATATTGTAGTGAAGCCGGGGCGCTGGTCTAGTACCTTGCTACCTGCACTCCGTCCATAGCATAAATGGGTTGTTTCGGCTCTAAAGTAAGAAGGCAATTTCCGGGGCATGAGGATCCTGTGACTCTCGCATCACAGACAGCTTGTAAGTAGATACTTTTCCCCTCCTGTGAAAGTACAATTCTTGATATCGGTTATTTGACCATGGAAAACTAATTCTTGCACGACGAGAAAATCTTGATATGATGCAACTCCACTGTTGAATTATAATTGCTTTACTATACATGCTTCCCTGCTGATTCTTTCTGAATTCACTTCCCCCCTGCTGAATGAATCTTAAGAGCTCAATGATGATTGATGATTTAAAATCAACAAGTCTTGTTCCACTGAGGTTGTCTAAATGCACTGTACAACTCTATCAAGTGAGCTCAATAATGATTAAGTTTAAGTAAGAAAGAGACAAGGAAAAATAAACTGGGAAAGGAGATATTCTGTGGGGACTTGTAGTTTTGCATGCTGTGTTTGGGTTGCAGGGGACAAACAAATTGTGGTTCACTTTATTGGGTTTAAATTGAAAATGGGCTGCTGCTTGAATGAGAAAGAAGCAAGTCCCCTCTAGCCCATCATGTTTTGATCATCCTAATGTGGGCTTCTTCATCAGTATTGACATAGGGTTATTAGGGTGTATACTATTACAAGGTCATAATGTAATTTGTCTCGATTTGAAGGTGTAGACTGAAGCATAGAACGTAGAAAAATAATTGGATGTAATATGCGGCTCAGCGCATCAATTTGGGAATGGACATGGTGACCGCATTTCAGTTCTACTTCCTGTTAATATTTATAGAGTATAGACAAATAAAAATAACTGTCCATCATGGCTTTATCCTCACCTATTTGATGCATTTGTTATGAAATTCCTCTATCTCTTTTCTGCTTTCAGGCACCCTTGTTAATTTTTTACTCTAAAAGTGTTGTGTTCATCTTTTGGTTTTTTCAGTCACTGTTAGCGAGGTTGAAGCGCTGTTTGAACTTTTTAAGAGCATCAGTGGTTCTGTTGTCGATGATGGATTAATAAGCAAGGTGCAGTATGGAAAATGCTGTTTTTACCCCACTTAAAAAATTAGTCATTGCTTTGCTACTGTTGTGGTTCTTCTAACTTATCTTTTGCTTTTTCATTTTATAGACTTTGTTATGAATCATTGCCTATCCAGTTACAGTTTATATCTGTAATAACGTGTTTTACACATTGGAATCTTTCTTCATGTCGTGATCATAGTGTTCTATCTTTGCAGGAAGAATTTCAGTTGGCAATTTTCAAGAATAGGAAAAGGGAGAATCTCTTTGCAAATCGGGTACAAAAAAGGATCCTTCTGCTTTGTTAAAAAATGCCATAATATGTGACAATTTAAGTTCTTACAGATGCTCACAGATGCTGTCTTTGTATCTGTAATTCACAACTTCAAGAAATTTGCTGTTTTACTGCGTACTTCTGGAAGAAACTCTTAATAAATTAATTCCTCCACCTTATTATTGTTAAATAGCTAGTGTTTGGTTGGCTCCAATTATTAGTTAATTTCAGATCTTCAAGATAACTTTAGTTAACTGAAAGAGGAGAAAAGTCTCTCATCTTCTGCAAACTCAAACAACATCTTGTTTTGCTTTGTAATTGCATAATATCATTGAAATTTTATGCTCTACTGCTTGTAATATATGCATCTAGGGGCCATTTCTGTAATATATTGGATTCATTCTGCTTGCAGATCTTTGACCTGTTTGATGTTAAAAAGAAGGGAGTCATTGATTTTGGTGATTTCGTTAGATCACTCAATGTGTTCCATCCAAATGCACCACAAGAAGACAAGATAGATTGTATGTCGAAGATTAAATTCTCAAATCTAGATGGCTAGGCTATCCTTGCTTCTGTTTTGTGATCTAGCTGTACTAATGGATTATGTCCCGGACTGTCTTTCAGTTTCATTTAGGCTCTACGATTTGGATAGCACGGGCTTCATAGAGCGGCAAGAGGTAGGTAACCCAGTTCTTATCTGTGTATTACTTTTGAAAGTAACCAAAGTAGTGACAACCCCCTTTTAGGAAAGATCTTATTTTGTATTCTTCTCTAGCCTGAGTCAATTAATGGCTATAGCCTATTATCATCAGGTATTCTTACTTCTTTTTTCTTTCAACATCAAGAAGATTTGAGTCTTTAACCACTGCCCCTACCCCACCCTACCTTCGCCACTGCTTTTAACTACTTCACCTCTATATATATGTGCGTGTTAGGTTCATCCCGTGCTGGGCAAGCACTTTGCCTAGTATCTAGCCTGGTATGGTATAGAACTGATCCAACCCAATCCCTTCCTTTTATAAAAGCAACCCAACCTGCAATGAGCACACTAATTCATCGAGCATCTCTTTATTTATTTATCAGTTGACTTTTGCCAGGTCAAGCAAATGCTAATTGCACTTCTTTGTGAGTCTGAAATGAAGCTGGCGGATGAGACCATAGACGCAATTCTTGACAAGGTGAGTTTGTGAAAAAGAAAATCATATGTCATACAAAACATAGTTATAAACTGACTTAAGTTAGCAAGCGGATCAACATTCTGGGAAGTATTAAGTTTATTTAAGCAGTACTATAACCTATTTTTCTCTCCTGGAGAATTGTCTTTAAAGTGAATGGCATAAACATAACCAAGTCAATAATATATTTGTTGTGGTCAGACATTTTTGGACGCTGATCTGAACAAAGATGGGAAAATAGACAAGGCTGAATGGCAAGACTTCGTTTCAAAGAATCCCTCACTACTCAAAATCATGACCCTACCCTACCTGAGGTATGTGCTGTACTTCTCATATAGCTCTGATATTTTGAACTGCTTTCATTCGAGGCCTCTAAAGACCTTCATTGTGAAACGAATGCAGGGACATAACAACTACGTTCCCAAGTTTTGTATTTAATTCCGAAGTTGATGAAATTGCCACTTGAGATTTGCGATTCGAGATTCGAGGGCATGCGGGTTTAGTTTATGCAGTTAGCGATCGAGTGCCTTTTCTTTTGTTTTTGAATATTAGTGTTTGAAGAGAGTAATATAGTGTTAATGTAATTAGCTTTTCTCAGCAATCTGTAAATCACATTCTTGAAAATTTCCAGTGAGCATTCTTGTTGGTAATGCTTTTACAACCTTCGTTATTTTCCAGTCAGGTGCGTCAGCTTTGCCTCCATGACAGTTGTCGTGTTCGGATCTTGGTCATCCGTAGAAGGGAAGAAAAGAGGAGTCGCCACTAAAATTTTAAAAGGATAATTTTGGGAACCTAAAAATATATAGTCTACGAAAACTGGATATGGTTGGGGAGTCAATTGTGTGTGGGGAAGGTGTTAGGCACCCCACGACGCCCATTCAGGAGAACGGTTACTATAAGTCAACTACCTAAAATTAATATAGCCTTTTTAATTATACTTTAATTACCCTAAAAAAGAAAAAAATTATTTACAAAAACTAAAAAAAAATTATTTATGAAGTTGGACTTGACTTAGGATAAGAACCTAGGACTTACATACCTTTTAAAAGGATCAAAACCCATGTAATTTGAAGGTAAAAATGCGTGTCACTTGGTAAGTATTTTTTAGAAAATATTTATTCAATTAAAAAAAGTGTTTTTGGTGGGTTTGTATTTTCTTAATATATGAAAACAAAGTTTTTTTTTATTTTAAAAGTATTTTTAAAAGAGATTTTGGATTACCCTTCCTGTGGAGGTTCTCATAACCTCACACGGGGGAATAATTGTTTGAGCCTGTGGAGGTTCTAAAAACCTCACACGTCTCTAAAAAAACATTTTGTGATTACTTGTACATTAAAAAAATTCTATTCTATTATTTATTTATAAAGATGGTGTCAAACTTATTTTCTTTCTTTTTATTTCAAAAGGAAAATTTGCACAACCATATTGGTATTCCTGCAGAGACTCCTATAGTCTCACACGGTTTACTAATGAATCTAGATACCTGCGGAGGTTCTAAAAACCTCACACGGTAAAGATTTTAAAAAGAGAAGCACTTTTAAAAATAAAAAGAAAGAACACCAAAAAAAAAGTCAACATAAGACTCAAGTTAAGCATAATAGATGGGAATGAAAATTCATACTTGATGCTTACTTATCAATTGGTTAAAAAATACATTGTATAATAAGTCAATAAATAAAAATTATATACACATATTGGTAAAAAGGCATGAACCAAAAATAGAATAAATGAAATAAAATGGAAATTAAAAAAAGAAGGAAGTGGATATTGGAATGAGTACATGTAGGGATAAATAGATAAAGACATATTTTGAATAAATCCCAAAGAAAAAGAGGGAGTGAGGATTAACTAAAATTATGTTAGATCCAACCTTCTAGCCATCACTGCTCCAGCTTATAAATGTAATATCAATCACAAGAGCATAGGCTTTCCTCGGATATAAAGGAAGAAGAAGATGAAAAAAAAGATTTTTCTCTAGTTAGGCCTTCTCTCTTTTTTCCCAAAACAACTTATTGCAATGAAATAAGATAATAGAAGAGCTCTCTACCTTGCCTCCCTTCTTCACTGGGAAACTCTAACTGTCTTCCTTTAACTCTTACTCTCCAATTTATAGGCTCTAACTAGGGTTTTCCAAATTTCTTCTAATTTTTGTTTTTTTATTTTCTTTAATTATGACTCATAAAATAACTTCCTATTTAAGCACCAAATCATCATCAAATTGTGATTTTTTTATTTTAATTTTCGTTTTTTATTTTTTCTACTATCATAATTCCAAAATATGTTTTTAAATTGAGGAGCCAATCATCTTAAATGAAAAATCTTTATTTTTATTTTCTGATTTTTCTTATTTCCCTCTTTAATGTGTCCACCTCATATTTCCCAAATTGGCTTTTAATTCTTACCTTTTATTTTATTGTCATTTATTGTAAGAGGGATATTTTCTTTTTTTTTTTTATTTCCCATATGGTAGATTTCTCAAACTTAGCCTCCAAGAAAGAATCAAGGAGGATATCAATCTTTTATTATTCTTCTTTTTTTTTAATTTCATTTACATTTAATATTTTTATGGGGCCCTGGATAAAATTGGGTGTTTTGACTATTTTTTCCCCCCGGTGAAACAGTATTGACGATTTTAAAATTCAGTATATGTTAGGACATTAACAAAAGAAAAAAAAAACTAAAAAATCTTCCAAAAACGCACTTCTCTGAATGAATGAATGATGTCGCTGTTAAGATCTTCTTGGTAGAGAATTTGTAAATGTGCTGTAAACCTTCTTTGAAAATTGTCAAGTGGGTCCTCATCATGATGAGCCCCTTTTTTTTTGAGCTGAATGATGAGCCCCTTAAAGAGAAAAAATTGGGAGAAAAAAAAACCACCAAAATAATACAGGGCTTGTACCTACTTATGATGAGCGCTTTTAAATTTTTTTACGTAAAGTGAAACAACTATTTTCACGCATTTACATGCTTACATAAGACCTGTTCGCTCTTAACAAAAATAATCCATCATGTCAAATGATGCAGTTGAATTATCACACTGTGCTTAAATTTTATAGACTGAAACTATAAAGAAAAAATCCCAAAAAAAAGACTATTGAATTTCAAAATAACAAATTAGTATTGGTTACTACACTTATAAAGAAAATGATTACACTTACAAAACAAATAACAACATATTTTTATAGTAATCTCTGACTTGTCATTTTGAAATTCAACAGTTACTTTTTGAGATTTTCCAACTATAAACTGTTAAAAGGTACATAATTCAAATCATTATGATTATACAAGCAAGTTTCAAAACATGCAATTTTAATCATGAGTTCTTTGTAAATATTAAATTTAAATTATGTATGCTTATATCAGATGGTTCATAGTCCATAAAATAAAAGAGAAGCATAGGGTTAAAGAATATAAAAACTAATTTGCATGTTAACGCATGAAACTCAGTTTTACGTACAAGTATTGCCTTAGGAATGCAAAAGTTTCTTGGCCCCTCTTAAATGGTAATCCCTCCGAATTCTCATTATAAAGATTTCCATCAGCTTTTCTAAGATGTTTTGTCTAAAACATTAAACTTTTTTCACTCAATATTCCTAACAAGAAAAAAGCCGCACTAATATAATTTAATGATACGAAAATGGGTTAAGAAGAGACTCACCAGTCGCCACTTATAATCTGAGGCTAATTTAAATTCATGGGGCATACTATAATTTAAATTTAAATAAAAATAGATATTTTGTAAAGAGAAAGATACACATAAATCAGTAAAAGAATGAGTGTCATACAACTCTGGTTTGTATATAAAAACAAATCCCACCCAAAAATATCTCATGTAAGCTTGAATGGGACCAAGGTGATGAAGCAGAGTACTGACACGTAACACAGAAAACTACTTTTGAAGGATCACAGTCACAATCAAACAATCAAAAGCTATGGTGATGTTGGTGCATATCCGAGATGCGTCCCGGAGGGATAGAGATATAGTACTGTCCTCATATTAAATCCAAGCACAGTGTTGTCCCACCGATTTATGGGCAACAGATATTCTGAAATTCCAAGGTTTTTTCACAAATCTATGAGTTGTTATTTCTAAACTATACTTGTATTCATATTTGTTATCGCCCCTTCTTCGTCTTTCTATATCCTCTCTGTTATTCTCTCCGCTGTTATTTTCCCCCATCAATCGATACCCCCGAGTTCTCCACCAAAATTGCAGATTGAGAGGTTTTCTGGGTGTGTCTGAATCTGGCGTGTGTGTCAATTGCAAGCCCGAAAGTATGATGATTGAGTGACATTTTGTTGAAACCGAGCTAGGGTGAGGAGGGAGAAGGTGGAAGGACACATGTACAGAGTGCAAGGAGCTGTCGTTGGGTCCAAGTCCGAGGTGGGTGCCGTCGATCGGAAGCGAATCAACGACGTCCTCGATAAGCAGCTCGAGCGATCGTCTCCGTCCACTTCTAGGGCTATCAAAGCCAAGGATAGGTCGTCGGATCAATCGCTTTTCCCCTCTAAGCCGCCCTCCGATCCCAGGGACTCGCAGCGCCCTGCCTCCATCTCTAAGAATTCCAACACTTCACGTGGTTAGGACCCATGATTACCCTTCTCCTTTGGTTGGCTTGTTTGTCCCTTGCATGTTTAGAATAACTGTGCTCTCACATGTTAGAACCGCTTTGTGATTTGGTTTTTCTGAATAATAACATTAGGATCTGATCTGTGATGCTTTGATAAATATATCTGCTTGGTAATATATGAGGGGTAAAAGCCTACATTGTGCTGGGTGCTTTTCGGCCTCCACCCAAACAATTTGCATAAACAATAGTTGAACTTTGATCTCACAGTGTTATATGCATAAAACCTAATTCGATTATGGACTGCACCGAAACGTCATTTCTTGGACGTGAGTCATGCTCGTTTTCTCATAGCTTGATAAATCCTGGTTTGGAATGTTCACAACGTTTTATGTTTTACTCTGAGTTCCTTTGAATGGTGCGAGGGCCGATTACCGCGGGTATTTTCTATATTATTTTCTGGTAGTTCTCCCTTTCTTCCCCTGCTTAGTGTTGGATAAATAGTATCAAGTGTCAACTCTCCAAATCTTTATATTATAATCATGTGAGAATGCCTAAACTCTATTATTACACCATTAAAACATCAACTCACTTGAATGCCCTGAAGAACTCAGCGATTGAGCTTTTCTAGTGACAGTCAAAGTTATTGCTGAATAAGAGAAGACAAATGTCTAGAGTTCTTTTTATTAACTTCTTATGTCTGATATGTAAGATCATAATTGTGTACTCCCTCCGTTCTTTATTATAAGAGACGAATAACCGAATTACGTTAATTAAAAAAAAGGTTAAAATTAGTTAAGAACAATCATTGTGTAAAAAGTATAACTTTTTTTTCAAAAAATGCCCTCATTAATAAGGAAAGAGAGCATGAGAGAGAACAATTAAATTATTAAAAGAAAGAGAAGTGAGAGGAAGAGAGAGTGTGACTTGGAGACAATAAATATGGGTAAAATAGGAAATTAACACAAAAAAGTAGAGACAACTTTTAAGTGTCTCTTATATATAGGAACATGTCATAAGCATCAAATGTCTTTTATAATAAGGAACGGAGGGAGTATTTTGTAGAAAGAAGGGGAAAATAAATTAGGCTGATATTAGCAGAAGTGTTGAGTGATTATTATTTCACATAAATGCACGAGGTGGACACTCTGTCCTATACTTTTTTGGCTATCTGCAAATTTGTATGTTGTTAAATATACAAGGGTTTAAAGAGGGGAAAAAAAAGGAAAAAGAAAAGACAAGGCTAGCATTTATCAAATCAAAGCCTATCGAACTTGGATTTTGCTGGTGAGAGCTTGCTGTTTCCACTCATCTAGTCTTGAGTTTGAATTGGCGGAAATTCACACACGAGCATTTATCACACCATAGCTGGACCTAGTTCACCAAAGAGATTGTCAGGTCAGCATGAAGATGAAGGCCTAAGTGCATGTGTTTTAGATAGGGAAATACAGAACACATTTGCATGATTTAGAGTTGCTGAGGAAGACATTGATCTGTTACTTAAATTTCTATCTATTGGCTGCAGAGGAATCTGAAACAGACACTGAAGCATCAGATGTTAGTGGTTCTGATGAGGATGATACATCTTGGATCTCATGGTTTTGCAATCTCAGGGGAAATGAGTTCTTTTGCGAGATAGACGATGATTACATACAAGATGAATTCAACCTCTGTGGATTAAGCAGTCAAGTGCCTTATTATGATTATGCACTCGATCTAATTTTGGATGTTGAGTCCTGTCATGGTAAGCTTAGTTTTGCATATTTCTATTTTCTGATGCAAATCTAGAATACAAGTGATGGTATGTGATGAATATACTTCTGTTTTAATGATATGGAAATATTTTGATTGAACGAAGGTGGTTTTCCCCCTTGAAGGTGAATTTGAATTTTTCACTGATGTGACTTGCTTTGAATGTCCAATTTACATGCCTAGCCATTTTTTAATTTGTTTTCTTAATGCTACTTTGGGTCGGTTGAAACATAAAGCTGACATGGTCACAGAGGAACAAAATGAATTAATAGAATCGGCAGCAGAGATGCTTTATGGCCTGATTCATGCTCGGTACATTTTGACCAGTAAAGGGATGGGTGCTATGGTAAGATTTTTCTGCTTTCCAATATCCACGTTTTTATGCTTAGCTAGCACTGATATTGGAATTGGATCATCTTCAGCTGGACAAGTACAAGAACTATGACTTTGGAAGATGTCCAAGAGTTTACTGCTCAGGACAACCCTGCCTTCCACTTGGTCTGTCAGACATTCCTCGTTGTAGTACTGTAAAAATCTATTGCCCCAAGTGTGAAGACACTTATTACCCTCGGTCAAAGTATCAAGGTAGTATCCTTATATATTTATATTGGGGCTCCACTTTTCACTAAATTCACTCATGCTGCTTTTTATGTTTTTTTTCCCCCTCAACGTATATCATTTTTCGTTCTCTATGATTCCATCTGAAATTTGATGCACTGCACTAGACAAAAGACTAGGCTAAGTGCTTATGTGGCTTTGCTGCGGAATATACTTCTATCAGAGAGCACTTTCCAAAGAATTTATGAAAATTATATTTGAAATTAAAGTGATAAAAAACAAAGTAGCTTCCTTTTTTGCCTTGAAACAAATAAAGTAACGGAAAAATGGCATCTTAGAATTCCGGTTCTTTTAGATGGTTTTCTAGTAGACTCTTCTATCTTGATATTGATTCTGAGGTTCAGAAGCTCTGCTCGACTTGTGTGTTGAGTTTCCCTATTACTCAACGAACAAATATTTTTCGGATTGCAAGTCTAGTGACCATTCCTTAGAGCTTTTCTCATTGTGATTATATGAGATGTATGTGATTTTTAGGATTGAGTAGCTTGCACTCAATATTTTTTATCAATATTTATAATTGTGGGTTTCCCTCTTTACGCTTCGTTTTAGACCCATGTTTCCTTAATTTATATCTAGACAATGATGGAGCTTACTTTGGAACCACATTTCCTCACCTCTTCTTGATGACATACGGGCATCTGAAGTCACAAAAGCCGTCTCAGAGCTATGTTCCAAGAGTTTTTGGTTATAAAATCCACAAGCCATGAGGCTGCATGCATCAGAGAGTCTGCTTATGTCTTAATCACCTATTTCTTTGTTGTATTCCTCAAAAATATCAGTGGATTACTAGGTTCCCAAATCAGCGCAAGTCAGATTACCCTGTTACTAATTTAGGAACATATAAAGATATGTCCACCATTTCCAGCAAGTGGTTAATTTTGCTTTCAGCTTCAAAGTCGGTCAGTTTTTGTAAATTTTTTTCCTCATCTTATAAATAGGTTTTTAGAACAGGTACTTGAACTGTGTTTTAATGGCTTGATCCAAATTTTTTTTTTTTGGGGTGCTTGACTTTATACCAAATCCCTACTGGATTCAAATTCTGTGTCGTCATAACCTATCATCTGTCCAGACCTGGTTGAAAAGTGTGAATAAGATTTATCATTGTTAGCATGTAGATTCGTGTACCTTTGTTTTGGTTTTATATGGTTGAGGTATTGTTCCATTTTGTGAAGTTTTTCTTTTCAAATGCGTTGGAGTGAATTTTCTTTTTATCTTTTGGATACAAATGGCAAGCTAGAGCTTGAGAACTGAGGCACAAGGTAACAGAAAACTACATCCTACTCTGGAGAGGTTTATCTTGGTGAAAAGCTTGAGGAGAATCAGGACACATGTCCCTAAGGACTATTTATTGAGATGGGCTTCCCCTTCTACTTTGAACCTGTGTGGAATAGCTTATAAATATCTTTTCATTCGTGATTTACAGAATATGAAATAATTGTATGAGAAGAGTTTTGTCTTGACTTGCATGAAATATGTTTATAAGTATTTTTGAACATTAGTGTGGAAGTACTTATAATATTTTGATGGCACCGCATATAATATTGAAAGAATCTGAACTTCGTGTTATGCCTGTAACATTTTTAAGTATACAAAAGAAAATCACCTGCAAGCAATAAAATATCAAGGACTAAGTGAACCGGTTGTTCAATATAGGGACCGGTCGGCATTTACGAACAACATAATTATATTGCCAGCCAAGGCTCAAACAAACATAAAAATGATCATCTTACTCGACAGGTGCGTAATTTTTTATTTTATTTAAATTTTGTGGTAATAGTAGCTCAACTGCACCAATCATTTTAGTGATAGATACTTTTGGCTTGTTTTTTTATTTTATTTTATTTTAATTCAAGACAGACGTGTTGACCAGCGGAACAATTATGAAATATGTTGCCAATCCAATAATTAGCATAAAATAAAAACGTAATTTTTTTTGGTGAACATAAAAAGGTAATTTAACACAACTATAAAGTGAAATTGTTGACAAATTTTCTGCAAATCGTGTCCTAAAAATAGAACGTATGAGCATAGAGCTTGATTGAGTCTAATTTAGAGAGAAGAGAGAGACTTTGTCGAGGCAAGATAGGATCTTCAAGCGAGGATTTTTTTTTTTTTTGGTAACTAATAATTGAATAGCAGAAAAACAAGAATACCCATACAACAAGACTCTGATACCATTTGATGCTTTTTTACTAATATTCATTTTGTTACTTTTACTGTTATGTTTTTGCAATTCTAGTGATAATAGAATCCGTGGAAAAGATGGAACACTTCGTTTTGGGGGGGAAAAAGGGGTTGGATTTATAACCTTAACCCAGCAGCAAAGTACCCAATTCTAACGTCACCCCTCATCGTGAATCCACAGTATCTGGTCACATTAAGACAAAGGAATTGCTAGTTTTCAAGTGCTAGGAACTTTGTTCCTACAATTTTGTTCGTACTGTGGTTTTGTTTTTTTGGTCAAATTTTGTTATGAAAACCTTCATGTCAAATTAAATATAAACAAAAACTAACGTAAGAATTGAAATTCTTGAACCTATTTGTTCCAAAATATGCAAACCAGAAGCACAAGTTAGATATTAAAAAAAAAAAAAAAAGAGTAGGATCACATATTATGCTTCAATGGTGAACTTAGAGAAGGGGAGTATGGTCAAGTTTTAAAGGAAGCTTTTTTTTCCCCCATGCGATTATATTAAATTTCAACTTTTCAGCAAAGAATGCAAAAAAAAAAAATGTTTTTGTTCTAAGTTTTTAAAAAAATGGTAATATTCCTTTATTTTTTAAAAAAAATTGTTTTCAAAATAGGAAACAAATAAGGCCTTTATCTCCATTTTTTTTTTCACTTACACCATATTTGATTTTTGGTCAACTACTTACACCATATTCTTATTTAATTATGGTAAACAACAATACTTTCTTCGTGCAGTTTTTCCGAAGTACAAAGTTTGATCTAACAAGAGTTGGTTCAATTGGTAAGGAATTGACTCATAACCTATAAGGTTGTGAATTTGAATTTCACTGTCGATGCGAGTACTTTGTTGATGAGCGATATGTAAATACTTCTATAAGTACTCTGAGTCTGGAGGTGTGTCCTGTCCCTAATGAGATCCTAAAACCCAACTCAGTTTAGTGGACCAAAAAAAAAAAGGTTTAAACCTTGAAGGGTGAAGCCTTATATCCTTTTCTCCAACATGTTTAATCAAATTGACTCGTCCACTACTTTCATAAATTTGAGTCATTGAGTGTCAAAGTCCTAATATTTAAAGTATCGAATTTTATCTTAAGTGACTTGGATTAACCTCTTTGCCTAAATCCGTCCACACAAAACTGTTTTTTTAAAATTAAAAAACTTCAGGTGGATGCTTTTTTTGGCCCAAAAAAAGGGCTACTATGGCCCACATGTTTGAGAGAGAAATGCATCCACACGCCCACAGAAAGATAAGAAGAAAGGAAAGGCCACCCTGTACACGCTCACTCAGACGTGGAGGCTTTACCCTTTGCTTCAACTTGCAACTTTATCTTGTAACTAAAAAAAAAAAAATTGCAACTTTATCACAATATTTTATTTATAATAATATATATTCCTCTATTATCACTCCCCAATTTTCCATGCTTCTGCTCAATTATTTGTTAATACTCCCTTCTATATTTATTATAATCTTCAAACAGCTAATTTACAAATAATTAATAATTAGTTAAAATCAATTTAAAATAATAAATAGGTTAGAAATATTTTTTTTTAAAGATGCCTTTATAATAAATAAGAAAAATAATGAAAGAGAACGTATGGAAAAATGTTATAAGAGATAAATAATTAAAAGCAACATTACAAACATATATTAAATATTAAAACAAAACTAAGTTAAAATTTATAAAATTTATAAATTAAATTAAGTGAGCTGTATCCTTTGGATAAGAAGGACGGTTGTGAGATTTGCTACCTCGCCAATAATTATAATTCAAAGCTGACTGCAATTGACTGCAATTTCCTATGTGTGTTGTGTTGCTTAAAATGTTGGCCCTAGTTCTTGACATATACCAATCACATAACCATATAAAATGTTTTAGTTTCGTGGCCTCGTTTTATAAAATACTTTTTCAATCTCCTGACTCCGTTAGTTTTAAATAATATTTTTGAGTCAATAATTGTTATCTTTTAGAATAACCAAACTTATTCTGGGAGTGTTTGAATAGAAACCAAACCATGGTTTCAGAAGTGTTTTTACGGATTACGAAGTAAATATATGAAGGAGGTTATCTCGTTTTACGGAAATTGCTTCTGAAACCACGGTTTTGGAGCACCCAAACAGGCCCTATGTCAATAATATTTTTAATAAAACAATTACTATGAGGGTTAAAAGAATTGAAAATTTTCTATCAAATTTAAAATTAAAATATTTTGACTTTCTTGTGACTTTTTCTTTAAAAGGGCAGAGTGGCGTTTTCGTAAATTTAGAATCAGCACGTGACCCGTAACCTTTTAACATCTGGTTTCTTCGTCTAAGCTGCGGAGAAAAGTGGCGTTTTAGACTTAACAGTCAACAAAACTCTTTTTTTTGGATACGTGGCAGTTAATCACTTCGCCACGTAGCAAAGTTTACAGTGACCGTTAGTTCCGTTATTGGTCTGTTAGGATCCCCTAAACTATATTGTCATTTTAGAAATACTATTAGCATTAAGACGCTCTTTCTTTTAACGTTAGTAGTATTTTAGTTATAATAATTGGAATAGATTAAAAAAAACTAGTTAAATTAGTTATTTATAATAAATATGTATTTTTTTTCTTAAAATATCTTTATTAATCAAGTGTATTGGCTAGAACTATCATTATTACAAGGATCATATTAAAAAAATGAATAAATATGAACGACAATGTGGATTGAAGTCTTATATTTAAGATCAAAAAAATCAAATACTCCTCTGATCTTTAATATAAGACCCATTTAACTTATTTGATTAGATTAAGGAAGTTAGATAAGTTGATTAATTATAAGAAAAGTGACATATTTTTCCTAAAACACCATAATCATCTTTCTTAATACCCCTCTTCTTTTTCTACTTAATTATAGTTGAGGGAGTATCCATAGGAGTAATTTAGAGAAAATTGATAAATATGAGAAATGGGTATTATATTTAGAACCAAAACCAACTCAAGAATTGGATCCTATATTAAGGACTAGAAGAGTAAGATCTTATATTAAGGACTGGAAGTAGCATTTAAACTGGAAAAATGATGCTATCAAATATAGATAAGCACTACAAGTATACGGGCCTGTAAACAAAGTATAACAAATCAAGGTTGATCTTAAAAAAAAAAACTCAATTAACAGTGATTAAGTAATAAAACTCTTTTTTTATGTTGAGAAAATCAAGATTAAATGTAAATTGAATTAAAAGAAATTAAAATAAAATAAAACAAAGTTTTATCAAATTAACTAGAACAATTAGGACCACCTAGAGTAACCAATTTCTTATTAAATTAACATCCTCAATCAGTAAAAACAAAGCTCAATCCACTGATAAGTTCATAATTACCCTGGGTTGCCTTAAAAAGAAAAAAGAAAAAAGTCTACAGTAGCTTTTAGGTTTCAAAATCTCCTCCCAAACGATGTCGTCTCCTCCTGTCCTCAGATTCCAAATTTGTTTTCTAAGCATGTGCATCCATCGTCAAGTTCCAAAGCATCCAAAACGGAGCACCCTGTGGGAAAAGAAACATAAATAAGTAAAAGTTGAATAAACAAGGAATACTGACACATAAAAAAAATTAAAATTTACAATATTCTAATTCAAGTACCTAAAACTTCAAAATTTCAAAAAAAAAAAAACAGTGATATTTGATCGGATATTTTGCAAATGTAGTTAAATGACAACAATTTCCTTATATCATAAAATTCATTAACAAGTTGTGAATTGACAATGACAAGTGTTGAACAGAATATGACAAAAAGTGTAATGAAAATAACGAGTTATTTATTACTCCCTCCATTCCTTATTATAAGAGACAAATAACCAAGTTACGTTGATAAAAAAACAGTTAAAATTAGTTGAGAACAATTAATATGCAAAAAGTATAATATTTTTTCCAACAATGCCCCCCATTAATAAGGAGAGAGAGTATGAGATAAAACAATTAAATTATTAAAAGAGAGAGAAGTGGGAGGGAGAGAGAGTATGAGTTGAAGACAAAATAAATAAAGGTAAAATAGAAAATCAATACAAAAAAATAAAACAACTTTTAAGTGTCTCTTATATATGGGAACATGCCATAAGCATCAAATGTCTCTTATAATAAGGAACGGAAGGAGTAATAAGTTGTGAACTGATAATGATAAGTGTTAAATGGCTAATAACAAGAAATGTGCGGACAATGACAAATTTGATATATTTTTTTAATATGATATAAGGACATTTTAGTCATTTGACTACATTTACAAAATAGCAGATCATGAAAGTGATGCTTATCAGGTATTTTGCAAATGTAGTTAAATGACAAAAATGCATTTGTATCAAAGAGTTTATTAACAAGTTGCAAACTGACAATGACAAGTGTTAAACAGCAAATGACAAAAAATATACTGGTAATGACAAGTTATTTATCACTAAGTTGTGAACTGGTAATAACAAGGGTTAAACAGCTAACGTGCAATGACATATTTGATGACATTTTTGTTTTAAATCTGATATAAGGATATTTTAGTCATTTGATTATATTTGCAAAATACCAGATCAAGCACCACTTCCTCCTTGAAAATTTTGATCTCTTAAATGCTTGAATTAAAATATTGCAATTTCTTAATTCTTTTTATGTCATTTTCCCAATAAAAAAAGAAATTAAATTAAAATAAAATAAAGTAACTCTGTTTTTTGATATTTAAAAAGAAACCCCTAATTAATGTTTCAAATTATTTAGCTCATACAAATAATTCAAAATGTCATTAATAACTCTCTAAAGATGCCCAAAAATACCTTCTAAATATATCGAAATGGAGAGTTATGAATAAAATACATCTGTAGAAGTATAATGCATGTTCTCCTAATTCTAAATATAACAACTAATTAGAATATTCTTGACAAGAAAAAAGAGCTAATTAGAATATTTGTTCATTGGAAAAAAATAAAAAATAAAAAGACAATTTATTTTATATTTTAATTTTATAAATTTTTTTCAAATTATCCTTGTGAACCAAGAAAGAGAGTTCTTATGAACAGAATAATAATAAAAGAAGGCATTTCAGAGAAATCAATATATATAGTTGTACTCAAATATATAAATATATATTTTGTTACGAATAATTAAAGTAATTAATTTTTTCAATATCTATAAATCCATTATGTGTCTCCCTATATTAAGAATTGGAGGAAATAGATATATGTATCTCAAATTGAGGCTATTGAGGGTAAATGAGTAACTTTACTTCTAATTTCAGTAGTGTAATTTTATTCATAACTATAATTTGTGAAAAATTAGTCTCTTCTGCTAAATTTAGTCCTTGTTTGTGAGAAATTAGTCTCTTCTGCTAAATCCATTCCTTGTTAGTATACTTTTAAAAAAAAATTGAAAGCATGGATATTAATCTTAACTCCTTTTTGACTTCTAATAATTTTAATCTTAACTTTACTTCTAATAATATCATAATTATTTTGACTTAACTCCTTTTTATTCACTTTATTTTTCTTTTATTTCCAGTAATACTTCACATACTCTGTTATATCATGCTGTTTAAATCTGCAAACCCATCAATTTGTAAACATAAATAAAGAATAAAAGAAATAATATAAACTCATATCATGGATATTAATATAATTTTTTTTTAAGCGCGACAAAATGATATATATTAAGAATAACGAGAGTTACAACTTACAATAAGTAAACATTATAAGAATTAAACTTAAGGAAAAAGTCTTTAATGAACTGCTGCTTCACATAATGGATAAAAAGAGGGGGTTTAGATGATCTACCAAAGACTCGTAGAAAGAAATTCAAAAAAGAGAGGCTCTAAACTTGGCAAAAGCATAATACTAATACTCTTATGGTCTCATTTTATTGTCAAAAAGAGCGGATACAATGAGGATTAAACATACATGAAAGGGAATAAAAGGTCGGCCCGTACATCACAGATCAAGCAATTTGCCGTAATTCAGCGACCTCTTTCAGTTTTCCTATTTATTAATCCATTCATCGCATTCCGGAGGCCGGAAACAGCAGCAATCTACTTGCCTTTCCTCATCCAGCAACCACCATAATCCACATGTTTCAGAGAACTCACTCCTACAGATAAGAGTTCAGAGGAAAAAGCAGAAGTTTCATACCCTTATTGCAAGTTGATGCATCACCAGAAATCTGCGGTGAAGATCGGAAAAGAAAGCTTAGGCCTTTCTTCCGATTCAACTTCAGCTCCGCCTCTTTTTTGTCCTCCAAACCTCCGTGTTCAAACCCAATTTGACCCACAACCTGCAACCACCCAACACAACTCCCAATCTAATTTCTCATTCCAAGGACAATCCGTGTCTTCTTTCCCACACTTCCCACCCAATCCACCTCCACCACCGCCAACAACCCGACAAAACCATGCCGGCAATATTTCTCACCATGATCGCTTCCTTGATAACCCATCAGCCTCACAATCTCCGGTTTCTTCTCCCCACAAGAGGAATACCATGAATCAGGGTTCTTCTTTGGTTTCCTCTTCGATGATTTCTTCTTCAGCTTGCCATAATCAGAGGCCATGCTTGCGTGCGAAGTCGTCTTGGCCATCGTTTTCGTGTTGTAGTTTATTTGCAAACCCCTTTGCCTTTGGTTCGAAATTTCAGAACTTCAAGTTACTTACCCTTTTTCGTTGCGTGCGACCACACAGGATTCGTTTCCGGTTCCTTATTCTACTTTCACTGCCGTACATTTTCTTTTTCGTTTCAAGACCTCGTCGCTCTCTCTTGATCGATTTCTTCTCCGTGATCGGTTTCTCAGCCGTGCTCTTCATTTCTCTCAATCTAGCTCTCCCTCGTCTACCCTCAATTCGCCTGTTCCTCGCCCGATCATTGCCGATTAAACTCTCTTCGTCTCTTTCTGCAACAAATTCTCCTCAGCCCATTCTGTGGTCTATAGGGTCGAAACCCGAATCAGAGGAAACCACTATTTCAGGACCCTGGGTGCAAATTTACAGTAATGGGGACGTGTATGAGGGTGAATTCCACAAGGGAAAGTGTTCTGGGATGGGGGTCTATCACTATCACTTGAGTGGGAGATATGAAGGTGAATGGATTGATGGGAAGTACGATGGTTATGGTGTTGAGACATGGGCTAGAGGAAGCCGGTACCGTGGGCAGTATAGGCAGGGCTTAAGGCATGGAATCGGCATCTATAAATTTTATACTGGCGATATGTATGCAGGAGAATGGTCCAATGGCCAATGTCATGGTTGTGGAGTTCATAACTGCAATGATGGCAGCCATTACATTGGAGAATTTAAATGGGGTTTGAAACATGGAGTCGGCCATTACCATTTCAGGTATGTTTCAGTTCTTTGATCGGCGGCAGCCCGTGTGTGAATGGAATTGTGCTCCATATTCTACACAATTTACATTGTTCAAGTTTATCATTTTGGTGTAGCTAAAGGTTTTAAGCAGTGATGGCGTAGCGTTTAATTAGGTTATGCGCACTTAACTGTTTGGCGCTGTAATACAGCTTGGGAAAGTACTTTGAATTCCTTGCTTGAAGTGCTTGCTCTGTGGAGGGGATCTATATATTTTAATGAACAGCATCCCCGGATGCCACTTTAATAGTAGAGGATCTAGATTTCGGAGCGTTGGGAATATTGAGAATTCTCATATTCTAAGTCTGATCTTCTGGTTGGAACATTTGGGGAATTCAACTGGTGTATTTGTCTTTAAATGTCTCACATGTTTAGATTAGGGTTGTATAAAGTGCTGTTATATCTTCGCTCATTAGATATTCTAATTAAAATGTAACAATGGATGGTTTCAATGAAAAGGCCCGTGTAAAATTTATTTACAAAAGTAATGCAATCTCATATTATTATTGAAACCGTACATTTATCATGAAAAATCTGATAATGAGGATGCAAGTAACTCCATATAAATTTTTTCCCGCCATGCTTTTATGTCTGAACATAGCCTGAAGTTAAAGATGGATTTGAATCAAATGAATGCATCCCATTCTTCATTGTTTTCCTTATTAGGCATTAGCCCTTTCAACTATTCCTATTTATCTTTCTTAACCTTTAAATCTTAATGGCTGAATCCCTCAAACTGGGCATTTGAATTCTGATACACATTTCCGGTAAATTATAATTGCAGTATCTTATACACATTTCCCAAGACATGTTTTCCTTTTTGAATTTATGGAGAGTAAAAAAAGCCAACTTTCTGAATGTGAGTATTAGATTATTATTGTCATCATTGAACTAGCTTGCTCTCGCATGATTTAACTGGCCGTGTTACCCTCGTTCTATCTTGATGTTTCCATGTTATATTAAACGCATTGCTAATGAAGCACTGTGATTAAATATGTAAGATTTAGTTATGCAAGGCCTGAAGGGTCACATGTGGAACATAGTTCTGTTCTATTGTGCCATTATGCTAACTCTCTGTATGCTGCTGCTGTACTGCAGAAACGGAGACATATATGCTGGGGAGTATTTTTCTGACAAAATGCATGGTTTTGGCGTCTATCAATTTCAAAATGGGCACCGTTATGAAGGGGCATGGCATGAAGGAAGAAGACAGGGATTTGGAATGTATACTTTCAGAACTGGGGAAACGCAGTCTGGTTATTGGCAAAATGGGATGCTATATGAGTCTGAAACGCAGATAATTCATGTGGATGAATCCCCATGTGTGGCGAATCATGCCAAGGTTTCTAAAGCAGTCCAGGTAATTAGTCCAGTTACACATTTACAATAAATTAATTTAGGGAGTTTTGTGCAAAACACAAAAAACTCGTCCTTCTTGTATCATATATATTGACATCTTGAAAGGCATTCAAATAATGAAATCAAGACAGCCTTTACTTTCCCTGATCTTGTCAGGCTGAGCTTTCTTCATAAGCCAAATGGTGTGATTTCTTTGACTTTGAAATGGTGCGCTGATAATTATTAAGGCATTTTATAATAAATGTTTCAATCCAAACAGGATGCTCGATGTGCAGCTGATAGAGCTCAAAGTTTGGCAAAGTTGGATGAAGGGGTGAATAAAGTTGTTGCAGTTGCTAATAAAGCAGCAAACGCAGCGAGAGTTGTAGCTGTAAAAGCTGTGCAGAATAGAATGCATCATAACAACAATGAGAAATGAAAATCTCAGCGCTGTCATCTTCTGTCCTAGACTACAGAGCACTAGTACATTGAGAAACGAGATGGACCAAGAAGAGGCGAACTAATGAAATTTTCTCCGAAGTTTGATTGTTAATATAAGTGTTTCTGCTTCGTTTCCTTCTTCCTGGGGGGACGAAGCTTCCTTTTATAGTATTGTGATACTGATGGAATTTACGAGGCGCCTGCTTGGAACCACATTCTGTCATTAAGACTCGATGGTTGATTGTGGAGCAGGCAGGTTCCTCCTTTGCCTTATATTGACGGCTTCAGTATGTACAGGACGACTAAGAACAAGAGTGTTTCGAGTTCCAAGGTTAAGCAAAAGTGCCATAAAGATGGTGGTTTTGTTTTCCATCACAATTTATGAAATGTATCATTATCTATCTTCTAATATGTGTGTTTATTTTATTATTAGTTACATCATAAGAAGTTATTGCTGTTTAGTTAAATTACTAGCTGAAAAAAAAAACATATTAAGTTGGGATGAAGGAACAAACACGATCACTTCAATTCAAAAATATAACCAATTCCCATTAAAAGGATTACGGTCATAAATGCATTGTTTAATTATAAGGTGATCCAACAGTTCAAAGACTTTTTTTTATTTTTTTTGGTGACGACAAAAAACACTAAAAACTGGCAAATCCTACGCGGAAAACACCTTCCCGCACAATCTTCTTGCAAGACGTCCTTAACAACTGACGGGGGGGTAGTCCAGATAGCCTTCCTATTGCCTTGCTCTTGTATTGACGCCGCTAAAGCATCAGCGCTCCTATTACTTTCTCTATATATGTGGTGCGCTTCAACTTTCCAATCTTTCACTGAAAGTAGATGGTATCCGTTTATTGCCTTGCCATGGTTGATTGCTTCACCCATTATACTCGCATCGCATTCAACTATGCCTTTCTTAAAGCCCAGTTTCCAGCACAACTCTAACCCTTAGATCCCGTTTGGTACAAAGTATTGAAAATAAAAAATAGGGACTATGATTGTAATTGAAAAAAATCAATAAAAAAATATTTAATATGAATAATTGTTTGTTAAATGGGATTAGGCAAACTTATTGAGATGAGATTAGGAAATACTACTTCTCCCTATGATATTCCCCAGTTTCACATGCGTAAGTTTATCTAATCCCATGTAACAAGCAATCTCTTATGCTAAACTTTTTTTAAATAGATTTTCTTAATTCTACTCTCAATCCATATCCCTCAATTTTCAATGCTTTATACTAAAAGGATCTTGGAACACGCTCCAAGCTTCCGCCTCAGTGGCGTCACACTCCCTCAATCTGACAGTAAAACGTTTAATCCACTCCCCACTATCCCCTCGAATTACGCCTCCACATCCAGTCTCTCCCTTTTTTGCAGTACTGTCAACATTCAACTTACACCATCCTTGTGGTGGTGGCTTCCAAGAGACCATGATAACGTCATTTGGGCTTTGCTGACAAAAACCTTCTTCCCATTTCCTCTTATCGCTTTCCAACTGAGATTTGATTACTTCTATGGCATTCCAGGCAGGACATCTCGAAATCCTCTGCATGTATCTTTAAATTTCTCCATTTCCGCATATACTAGCACGTTATAGCGAATGTTTCTGGCCAGGTAATATCCTCAGTATTCCTCCCCTTCAGTTTTATGTTTTTGGTAAACCAGTCTTCCCAATTTTCATTGAAGAATTTCCCCTGTACATTCCAAGGCACTAGTTGTTTCCGGATTGCAGCAATTTGCGAGCAGTCCAGTAGAGCATGAATCTGGTCTTCTACTTCACATTTACATATTTCACAAATTCCATTCCCTCCATCCCATTTGGCTGTGAGAATTTTGGTGACAAGTCTGTTATGAGCTGAAAGCCAAATAAACACTCTAACCCTTTCGAGCACTTTAAGTTTCCAATGTCTTTCCAATAGCTTTGGAGGTGCCACATTTAGAAGCCATTTATACGTCCTTCCAGTCTTGAAATTGCCATCCCCATTCGGTTTCCACTTGAGTTCGTCTTCCTCTTTTCCATTCGGTGGCCACATATGCTTGATTTTTTCAATGATAGATGCAGGAAGAATATCCTCTCTGGCCTCCGAGTCCCAACTAGCATCTTCTTTGACCATTTGAATGACTTCAAGTGAGCACTTTGCTTCTCGGAGTTCTTGTACACATTGGATTAATTTTCTTTCGTTTTTGGTCCACGCATCTTCCCAGAATTTTGCTTTATTACCATTTTTCACTTCTACCACTACATTTTCCTGGTGCTTGTCCCACAACTTGCCAAGTTCTCTCCAAAGTTTTGCGCCCCCAGTTTTTGTCTCTGGTTTCTCTCTTTGATCATTGTTTCTACCATATTTTCCCCTAAGAACATGGACCCAAAGCTCGTCAGGATTATTTTGCATTCTCCACAGGAGCTTGGGTAATCGTGCATCACTCATCAAACTCCTTAAGTCCTATACCCAATGCCTCTTTAGTTCTGTACATTCCTTTATAGCTAACCGCATGTCTTCGTTTAGCACTATGTTGTTCTCCCCAAATGAACCTCCTCTGCTCTTTTTGGATATCTTCAACTATTCCTTGTGGCCACCTATAAAGCTGCATTGGGTAGAGAGCCATCAAACTAGTGACCAATTTAACAAGTGTCATTCGTCCTGCTAGTGAAAGGCTCAAAGCTTGCCACCTAGCTATTCTCTTTTTCACTCTTTTCACCACAATCTTGTACTTATTTTTTTTCTTCTCTTTTTTGGTGATAAATTTAGAGGTATTTGGATAAAAACAAAATCATGGTTTTAATAGTATTTTTACGGTATATAAAGTAAATATGTGAAAGAGTTTGTCTCGATTTGCATAAAAGTGCTTTTTTAAAAGTGATTATTGAGCAATCTAAACACCCCCGAAATGGTTGCTCCAAGATATCTCCTGAGGTCATCCATTTGTTTGAAGCCACTTCTATTACATGTACTCCTCTTGGTTTGATTGTTGACATTGGGTGAAAAGAAGATTTGGGTCCTCACTGATCTTATGTCCTGACATATCACCAAATTCCTGTATATACTTGAGAATTAATTCAATCTGTTGAGAATCAGCTTATGCAAAAAGGAACAAGATCATCAACAAACATCATATGGGATATAATGGAGCCTCTCCGGCTAGCTCTCAATCCTCTCCACCATTTCTCTCTCACTCTATCTAATATCACGTGTGTGAGTTTTTCCATTCTAAGTACAAAAAGATAGGGAGAGATGTGATCCCCTTGTCATTGCCCCTGATAACATTTGAATTGTTCAAGCTTTTCTCTATTCCAAAGGATCATGGTGGTAGGAGTGTCAATACAATTCATTAATCTACAAATCATTTCTGTAGAACATTGGATTTCTTTGAGCACTTTTTGTCATAAACCTTCTCCAAATCCACTTTAATTGGCATGTAACATTTTTTGCCCTTCTTGTTTCTCATAGAATGTATCATCTCATTTACAACTATAATATTATCATGTATGTTCTGACTCGGCATGAAACTGACCTAGAATGACGAGACAAGATTTGCAATGATAGACCTCCACCTTGCATAATGATCTTTGACAAACACTTTAAGTAACATTGGACAATGAAATTAGTCTTAGTTGGTTCACTTTCTCCGATGAGTCAACCTTTGGGATAAGCATTATTAGAGTATTATTAACCTCTTTAATTTTCTCCAGGTCATGCCACATTTCTGTGACATATTTGGTGATGCTTTCTCCCACCACATCCCAATTCCTTTAGAAGAACATAGCAAGAAAGCCATATGCTCTTGGTGCTTTCAAACTACCAATGGAGAAAAGTGCATGCTTTATTTCTTTAGGAGTAATCTCATCTACAAACCCTTTCCATTTCTCTTGAGAGATTGACAGTCAGGAATAACTAGTAGTTACCCAACCTCTATTAGGTTCCTCTTCTTTAAAAAGCTTCTAAAGGAAATTATTTATGAGGCAGCCAACATTTTCATCCCCCCTAATCCATTGATCAGACTCATCTTTAACATATGTACCCTGTTTCTTCTCCTTTGTATTGTTGTTTTGGTCTGGTAGAAAGACGTGTTTCTGTTGCCGTCATTCAACCATTTCCTTCTGGATTTTTGGTACCAAAGTACTTCCTCTTGATCAAGAACCTCTATTAGCTCAGTAGATAGTTGTTTTTCAAGATCTTCAAGATGATGACTCACCCTGTTTTGGTTTGTCCTTTAGATTCCTTCAATTCTTCAACTTAGTTCCTTTTTCCTTTTCGCAATATGCCCAAAAACATTCTAGCTCCAGGTTAGCAGTTTTGGTTCTAGGTCTGCAAGTTCATGCCACACCTCTTTTGTCCCTATCCAACTTGCTTTTAACATTCTCTTCAACTCATTATCCTTCAGCCACGCAGCTTCTAACCTAAGTGGGTGTCTTCTATTCCTTTTTTGTGATTCCGAAAGGAAAATGAAGATTGGGTGATGATCAGATTGAGGTCTTGGTCCAACCCACATAATTGCTTCATGAAACTCATTCTCCAGGCTCACACATCGGCACACCTGAATATCTTCGCACTTCTCCTCCACTTCTATTTATTAGTCTTATGTTGCCTACTTCTTGCACTCTTTTTAGGGCCCATAATCAGATCACCTTAGGCTCTATTTCTTTCTCTAATAGGCCCACTTGTTGACCTACCTCATTTCTATCTTTCATTTGAAGCTTCTTAGCATCCGGAGCCATCACTTTCTCTTCTGTAATGCTTCTTGTTTTTCCTTTTTTCGCCTTCATACCTACCTTGATTGGTGACTTGTTTGCTTTCAAGGTCACATTAGATCTTTTTTGCTTCTATCACCTCTACTCAAGTCCAATTGCTTTTCTTTCGCGTCTTCTCAAATCCAACTTGCTTTTCTTCCTCATTCATAGAAACATTCGAGATCTCTTTCAAAGGTGTTCTAATAACTATCTTAGTTTTTGCCGCCATTTTGCTAGGTTCTTCAATCTTTAGTACATCAAATCTTGAGGTACCCAATTTTTTCTCCCCTCTACCATCTTTTTGTTATTCTTTCCCTAATTTTCCTTCTCTTATGTTAAACTTTCTACCATATCTCGAGTCTTGAGCTATCATCTACTGATATTTTGTTCTCCTGCACTCATTTTAACGGACAATGTTCTGCCATGTGCCCAAATTTGCCACAAGAAAAGCAAATTGACTACAAGCCCTCGTATTCTATCTTCAAAATATTCCCATCCACCATGTAAAATGGTAGCAGAGGAACATTGAGGTCAATTTTCACACACATTCAAGCATACACAGTATGTGCACAAAGGAAGGTCATTTCATCAACCTTAATGGCTTTCTCTATTTTGTTTCCCATATGAAAGAAGAATTTTTTATCACAATAGTCTCCTAGTAAGCCTGGT